TGCTGTGGACACAAAGTCAACTCTGGGACAGAGAAGATGAGTCCTATCGACCAAGCTATCCAAACATATCAGAACAAAACTTTTATAGCACTTTTAAATGAACCACAACATTATATAAAAATACCTTTGTGGAAATAAAAAATCAACCCTCAATCATAGAATCACTAAATTCAAGGGATGAACCTTTTGGATTGAATTACTTAGATCCCTTAATGCAGTAGCAATAACATATTTTCTTCCCATTAAAATATTCTCCCAAGGTCAGAACCATAGATCTCCCAAGACCTTTGTGCTTCTCTGTGAATCTAGAATTCCCACACAGGATGTAATTAGCCTGGCTCTGGCCAAGCTACGCTGGGCTTTAACCCATCAATCACCCCTGAAGAACGCTTTAGTGCAGGTTAAAAATACCTTCAAAACCTATCTGGTTTCTAACTTGACAGCGCGCCTTATCCTCTGAAAATATGCTCTACGTACCAGAGCTGCTGTAGGAGCAAGAGCGGAAGGCAGATGGCTGAGTTTGGTTTCCTGCCTTGCCAAGGACAACCTCATCATTTGCCCTGGGACCCGGGGAGTCCCTTCTCAGATCCCTTTCTTAGGAACCAGTTAATGCAGCCATGACAGCATGCCACCCTCCAGATCATGGAGAAGCTACTGGGATGGTAAAGGTTTAATGCACTGCAGCAATTGGGGATAGGCTGAGGGAAAACTGTGTGTGTGTGTGTGTGTGTGTGTGTGTGAGAGAGAGAGAGAGAGAGAGAGAGAGAGCGCGCACAAGTGTGCATGTATGCTTGACTGTCAAAACATTTCGTACAACTTCTCTGACCCAGACTCACCCATGAACACCTGTCCTGATATCTAGACGGAAGCACGTAGAATAACGCAACGTGGAAGAAATGACTGCCGCGTGTATGGACAGTGCTGGGAGCTGGTGCATAGCATGCAGCTCCTCACTCCTAACTCCACTGCAGGAATGAGACACAGGCACAAACAAGCTTTTTAATAAAAGACCAAATATATGTGGTAATACTTGTGTTGTGTAGGAACCGATGACACCCATTTCTTGGTATAAAGAACGCTAAGAGGAAAAACAAAATGCTGATGACCCCGCTTCATTTTGACATCGAATAATTTATTCAAGAGGTACTTTGGTTTAAAAAAATGACTGAGCCTGGCCAGTGTAGCTCAGTGGACTGAGCGTCAGGGACAGCTTCCCACGGCCCCCTGGTTCTGATGAGGTTTGAGGCTTTGTGCCTCACCTCCTCTAGGGAACAGCTGGGAGCTATGAAACTCGGCTGCAACATGACATTGGTTTCTCCTCACCAGGGTGTCCTGTCATTAGTGCCACCTGGTCCCTTTTGTTCCCGGGTTGCCCTGCCCGAGGGCCGCAGCCAGCTAGCACCTTGGTTACCTCCTTTCACGACCTGAATCTAAGAAGGGCTGGTTGCTTCCATAAGCTCTTTACTGGCCGAATCTGGCTTACCTTGGCCTTGTCCTTGACAGTAGTGATTTCCTTGCTACCCAATGGTTAGTAAATTTTCCTGACACTATTTATTGAACAGTTCATTTTATCCCCATTGGTGGTTTTTCTTGTTTCTTTTCCTTTAAAAAATGTTTCTTATATACAAAATTATGTATTTGCATTTGTTTCTGGACATTTATTATTCCGTTTTCTTTTCCTTCTCTCTATGTTGGTGCTGACCCACACTCATTTTTATACAGGGGTGGGCAAAAGTAGGTTCACAGGTGTTCGTATGGAAAAAGACTTGCAGGTTATGGTTATTACAATAGCTTCATTAACCCCAAAGAATGGCACTCACAACTGTAAACTGACTTTTGCTCACCCCTGTATATGTATGATCCATGTTTAAATGGGTGGAGAAAACCCTTCTTATTCTTCTTCTTTGCCAGATTTTCTCCGAGGGTCTTATGCATTAATTTTAACAGAAAAGTCTAAAATAATTTGGTCAATACATGAATTATTAAAAATCCCAAACTCCTGGAATTTCATAATAATTCCTTTTAGGTGGAGAGCTGATATGTTTATATGATTGATTCTTCCCACCCAGGAATAGGTATTTCTCCACGCATATTAAAGCATTTCTAATGTACCACAGTAGAGTACTCGAGTTTTCTTCAGAGTCCTGCGTGCTTCTTGTTCGGTTTATGACTACGAGTTATGCATTTTCTGTAGCCATCACGAATGGGATCGCTTTCCATCATTGTTTTTCCTAACTGTCGGTTGTTTCTTGCAGGGTCTAAACAGGGAGGTGGCCTGGTGGCAGCTGTCCCAGGGATGGTGGGAGGGGGTGGGAGGCCGGCGGAGGCAGGGCTGGGTAGGAGCTCTGTCTGCAGGGCCTGGTGCCGGCAGGACAGGTTTTGAGGCTCTTGAGCTTTGCCACTTGTTATCCCAGTTTTTCTCATCGGCAACTTTTTCTTCGCGTGGGGCTTCTTTGAAGTAAATGCTTCAAGAGGGGGACTCGGCTCCCAGCGTTTATTTAACCGCCCTCTGGAGGTAGGCCTGAGGCTGAGAGTTAGAGGAGGTGCGCAGGCTGGAATCTCAGGATGACATCGGAACCTTTCCCTCTGGACAAACCAAAGGGTGGTTTAAGCCCCACGCCTCTCTGCCTTCCCGACTCAGCTCCTGCGGCGGCCGGGCTCCCAGGAAACCGCTGTCACCGAGTTCGGCCCTTGGGAGCCATTTCTCTGCCTGTGACTCCACCGCCACAGTGGAACAGCACCTAGCGTTTCCCGAAAGGTGACTCCAGGCTGGTCCCGTGTCTTCCACGCTCCATAAACCTTGGTCCAGAGAAGAGGGATGGGGGCCAATATTGCAGCCCTCAGAAGCTGCAGCTCCCCCCTTCTCCCTTTCACGTGCTCCCCCCTCCTCCAGGCCTAGAACAATCCAACTAGACCTACTTCCAGGGTGTCTCTAAGACAAGACAGGCCCCACCATGCTCCCTGGGGCCGGCGCTTCCGGCATCAAGCAGGAAATTGGCCCACAGGCCCTGCTCTTGGCACGACTCCCAGGCCTTTGCTGTCTGCGTCCCAACTTTTCCACCTGTGCCTGGTTGAGTACCTGACGCTAACCCCGCTGTGCCCAGGCCCACATGTGGCAGGAGAGAGTGCAGAGGGCCACCCTTGTTATGTCCCTAGCATGGTGCAGACCCTAGACACTACCTAGGATGGGAGCTACAGCTGTGACATGTTTCCAGGTTTTGTCTACCAGGTGAGTGACAGAATCTCAAGCCATGTCAGCTCTGGAGAGTGTACTGTGAACGTCTTCCTGCCCTTGCCCACATTTGTCCTAGGGAACCTGGTTCCTGGCCACTGCTCACTGGACCAGCTTCGTCTCAGAACACAGATGCTCTGTTGGCCAGCGGAGCTATGAAGACTCCCTTCCAGGGACTCCAGGAGCGTGGATGAGTGGCCTCTCCTTTTTTTGGTGCAGAAATCTCATCTTGCAGAAGTGGGGCAGATGAATAGTGAGCAGCAGAGTGAGAGCTGGACAGAGGAGGTGCCTTTTAAGTATTCTTAAAATAAACCTCCATTTTACTGAGTTTCCATTACTGGGTTTCTAATCCTAACAACTAAGCAAAAGCATTCTTCTCTGCCATACTTACTGCCCAACCCAAGGTGTGAGGGGCCAGAGATCTTAATTCAAATCCAGACCTTTATGATAGAACAGACCAGGCTTTCAAACTTCCGGCCAGCCCTGCTCTCTGCTAGTAGAGGCGGGCAGAAAGAACACGTGTGAAATCCCTGCTGCCTGTCACACTTCCGTCTCATTAATTCCCACCAAAATTCCTTGCAATTGTCTCATTACTATGGTTTCATAGTTGAGAAAACTCAGGACTAATTAACAGAGAGCAGTCAAACGGTAATTAAGTCGGGCTTTAGAATAAAAGTAGTTCCAGTTTTGAACCTGGCCCTATCCCCTTAAAGATTTGTGACTTTGCTTATTTTTTCAAATTTTCTTGCGAACTTCAATTTCCTTACCTATGAAACAGGGAAAAGAATGCCACCTTACAGGGAGTGGTGTCAAATGGCTGCATTTTCAGTGAAGCCCGAAGTGACAGAGCTGGGCAGAACACCCAGGTCCATCTGGCTGCAGAGCCCTGGCTCAGCGTGGCCCCTTGAAGGGATTGGACAGATTCCTCCCTTAAGTCAACACAAGAGGTTCAGCAACCAGGAAGCGAGGCATTTTAGCTAAGGTCGTTACCTGCTCCATAAATCTGAGAGCTGAAACTGTAACACTTGTGTCCTGGACCTGACTGGTTATACTTGTTGGTTTCCACTGTAAAATATTAGGGAAGAGGAGAAATCATTGATATTAGCCTTACTCTGATTCTCCCTGAAGCCATCAAGCTCAAATAAGGAATCTTAAGTGGATCTTAGAGTACTGGTGTACCCAAATCAGACCCGTTTTGGAAACCTAATGCCACACATTTTCGTGTAGTTTTAAGGTACTCATACATGTCCCCTCACGTGTCCTTGATCCAGTCACTCAGCCTGACTTTCATTTTCTTTAACTAAAACCTGGTACTTTCTTCCTATTAAGTGCTGCTATGAAAAAACTGAAAATGAATGTAAAGGTACCTTATAAATTGTAAAGTTAGAGATAAAATAAAACATTTATATTAAAGGCTTTAAAAAAACAAACACTAGTCAAAATATTCAAAATTTCAATAGCTCAGTTGAGAAATAAAATGCAGAGCATGAATGAGTCCAGACCTGGGCTCCATTTCCAGCCCTACTCAACTCGGGCCACATACATCAACTCGGGCTTCCACCAGGGAAGTGCTGGAGTAGTGGATTAGGTCTCAGAAGGGTCTCTATCTTATCTCTAAAAGACTCAATTTTTGGTCCCAAACTTTCTATCAAAGTGACACTCCTAAAAACCACAGCCCAAGTTTAGAAAAACTTCATTTCCCAGCAACGTAGAGATGTTTCCACTTTCCATATACACATTCTCCAAGATAACAAACAAATCAGCAAAATTCAACTTCCAAAGGTTTTATTTCACTGTCGTTTGATGGTAAAACTTCCCTATGCTTTGCAGCTAATGCGTGTCAGTGTGCAAACTGTCCTTAGAGAGAAACATACAGCTGAGTGTCTCAGAGAACAAGGTGAGTGCCACCTGCTTTCTAGGCAAGTTTCGAGAGCTGTCTTGGGCGAAGAAAGGAGCCTCTGCAAAAAAGATACTCTGTGCTCCCTCAGACAGAACCGGGGTGCTTCCTGGTTGATGACACATCTTCATTACATCATGTGGCACACAATGGAATCCCTTTAACCTTTCATTGTATTTTTAAAAAACACAGAGAAGATATCATGAATTACCCGAGCTTAAATCCATGGTAGAGAAACAAGGAGAAAAAAATTAATGCACAAAGAAATATAATACACAAAATAAAATATGCAATGTTTCACAAGCTGCATACATTTCAACAAAAAGTTGGGGGAACACAGATTTGGTTATTTAGATTTTTAAAAACACTTATTACAAGCAGATTACCTTTCCCATATTTAAAAAAACATGACTGAAAACATTCAGAGATTGGAAATTGGGTTAGACAAATTCCCAAGTCCTTGTCAAATAAGGTAGCAATCAAGAAAAAGATACTTTGGAACTTAAAATTAGGGCAGCCTATTCACAATTTAAATGGAGGGAAAGAGAAAAGAAACCTAACTAAACAAAATATAATGAGAACAATCATTTACATTTCATAGTCTTTAATTAAGCACATAAAACTGTACTATTTAATATATTTCTCCATGAATTTTTTGTGAAATTCAGATCGCAGTGTATCGTTGACAAATCTTTTGTCTTTCTTCTGATCATCTACACCTTTTGCACAGTTCTTGAAAACAACATCATCATCCCACCTGAAGGAAAAAAAGAAAATAGAACGTTCTTATAATGCTTGAATCAGGAGACACTATGTGAAATTGCAAAGTTTAGTCATTACACAGAAAGACGCTCATCATGTATAGAGAGGCAGCAAGTATACCCAAAAGAATAAAGTAATTTTGAGTGGGTTGTAATCTTGCTCTGTAGTAGCAGAAAGGGCACTTTTCCATTTAGAACATATAATACATTCTTACTACTTCTCCATTATAAGAAGCTTTGACTAATTCAGAAAGCAGAAATACATACATTTTAATTGCATAAATATCAAATGTTTTCAGGTCTAAAACAAAGAGGCAGCATCTGGTATCACTGATTAATACAGACAATTCTAGATGATAACTGACCCATTTACTGTAGTTAAGATTATGTGATTTTAAGGATTTTATCTATTTTTTCATCAGTTAACATTAGTAATCGTCCACTGTAGTATTTACACTTCAGAACAATCAAAGGAGAAGAAAGTACTGGCGTATAACAATTAAGGCTCATATATTGATGCATGTCTGCATTAACCATGAAGAACTAGCACTGAAGAAGCCAGGGCAGGGCGATGGTAGGATTCTTCTGGTTAAATTTCATAATGCACAAGCATAAAAAACACCCATGGCCCAGCCGGTGTGGCTTAGTAGTTGAACGTCGACCCATGCACCAAGAGTCGCTGGTTCGACTCCCGGTCAGGGCACATGCCCAGTTTGTGGGCCAAATCCCCAATGGGGGGGATGCAGGAGACGGCCAATTGATGTTCTCTCTCATCGATATTTCTCTCTCCCTCTCTATAAAAAAGCATCAATAAAAAAACAAAACAAACAGAGACTTACGGTCAAGATGGCGGTATCGCGTCCTCCCACAACCACATCAAAGTTACAACTGAACTACAGAACAACCATCATTCAAAGCCACCTGAAATCAAGCTGAATGGAAGTCCTACAGCTACGGAATTAAAGAAGCTGCATCGAGACTGGTAGGAGGGGCGGAGGCGCGATGGGCTGGTCCCACACCCACGTGTGTCAGAAAAAATCAGGAGGACACCTCGGCTGGGAAGGTCCTTCCTGAGGACTGAGGGGTCCCTGTCCCACACCAGATGCCCCGCTCAGGGTTCCAGTGCCAGGAAGAGAAGTCCCCATAACTTCTGGCTGGAAAAACCAGCGGGAACTGAGGCTCAGGGAGGCTGAGGCTCCTGGAGCCCCAGGCAGCTCCTTAAAGGGCCCGCACGGACTTATCGGACTCTCTCCCTCTAAGCTTGGAGGAGATGCAGCTCGAGGGGCGCCAGAGACATACAGGGAAGAACTGAGCTGTTTGGCATTGGAGCGAGGGCTGGAGAGGGGGCTTTCTCCAGGACAAACGTACTGCCAGAGGCCTTTGTTCCTTTGGTGAGCCCTTCCCTGGGGCGGCAGACAGTTGCCATATCTGGGACTCCAGCAACCTGGCTCACACTGGTAGCCCCACCCTGGTGAGTCCCTGAGACCCCGCCCCACCCAACTTTCAGGCCCAGCCAAGCTGTTGCAAGTTGCTTGGATTCTGCTTCAGGTTTTCCTAAATTCTTTCAGACAAGCAGCATCTAGTCTAGATGGCCCCATACCTCTCGATAAGTAATACACAGAAACAAACACAGAGAGACAGCCAAAATGAGGAGACAAAGAAACAGGTCCCAAATGAAAGAACAGAACAAAACCCCAGGAAAAGAACTAAGCGAAATGGAGATAAGCAACCTAACAGATATTGAGTTCAAAATACTGCTTATAAGGATGCTCAGTGAATTTAGTGAGGGCCTCAAGAGCATAAAAAAGGACCAGTCAGAAATGATGGATGCACAGTCAGAAATGAAGGAGGCATTAGCTGAAATAAAGAATAATTTACACAGCTTCAATAGTAGAGTACGTAAATCCAAGAAGCAGACCACTGATTTGGAATATAAGGAAGCAAAAAACACCCAATCAGAACAGCAAAAAGAAAAAAGAATCCAAAAAAATCAGGATAGTGTAAGGAGCCTCTGGGACAACTTCAAGCGTGCCAACATTCGCATCTTGGGGGTGCCAGAAGGAGAAAAGCAATAATAAAATAAACAATAATGGCAGAAAACTTCCCTAACTTGGTGAAGGAAACAGACATACAAGTCCAGGAAGCACAGAGAGTCCCAAACAAGATGAACCCCAAGAGGCCCACACCAAAACACATCATCATCAACATGCAAAAGGTTCAAGACAAAGAGAGAATCTTAAAAGCAGCAAGAGAAAAGCAGTTAGTTACATACAAGGGAGTTCTCATAAGGCTGTCAGCTGATTTCTCAAAAGCAACTTTGCAGGCCAGAAGGGAGTGGCAAGAAATATTCAGAGTGATGAAATGCCAAGAACCTACAACCAAGATTACTCTATCCTGCAAAGCTGTCATTTAGAATCGATGGACATATAAAGAGTTTCCCAGACAAGAAAAAGTTAAAGGAGTTCATCACCACCAAACCATTAGTATAGGAAATGATGAAGGGTCTTTTTGAAGAAAAAGATAAAATGTATGAACAAACAAAATGGCAATGAATACATATCTATTGACAATGGAATCTAAAAATAAAATGAACAGGTAGAATAGAAACATTCTCAGAGAACATTTTGTTGGTTGCCAGATGGGAGGGGGTTTGGGGGAATGGGTGAAAAAGGTGAAGGGATTAAGAAGTACAAATTCATTGCTAGACTGACAAACCTCAAAGGGAAATGGGTTGAGGGGTGGGAAGAAATATACCAAAGAACTTATATGCATAACCAATGGACACAGACAATAGTGTGGGAAAAGGCGGGAGGGGGGCAGGAGTGGGTCAATGGGGGAAAAATGAGGAACATGTGTAATACATTCAACAATAAAGATTTTTTTAAAATCAATGAAAAAAAATTAAAAAACAAAACTACCCATGAATGGGCTATAAAATATGTTTTATAGAAAATTAAGAGTGTGATTTCAAAATATCATCTAACATATAAAGCAAAATCCCATTCTGTAATATATATCCTCTTACAAATACATATAAAATGGAAGCCCATGTAACGTGTATCTATGTGCACATGTATGCATGCCAGAAGAAACTGCACGTGAAAAATGAGCAAAGAATGTGGCATCTTTGGAAATAGTAGTGTTAGTAAAGTCATCACGTGCAACACACAGATGAGTGAAAAGCTGAGCAGAGCAGGGTCAAATGAGACCTGCATATTAAGATGTGTTCCAGTCTCCAAACAACTCCATTTGCATCCAAACAAGGCAGGAGAACAAAGTATAGAGTTTAACATCAACAGAAATATAATCGACACAGTTTTTCCTCTATCCACTCAACTCAGCCCACGGTTTTTAGCCCCTTCTCAACACCAACCTGCTCTTCCATGTTGCTAAACCCAAGGGCCATGTCCCTATTATCATTACTTGACCAATCCACTCCCCTGCTCTCGACAGCAAGCTTTGTCTGCTGGCTTCCCAGACACCCACCAATCTCTTTTGGTTCCTTCCTCCCTCACTGGCTGCTCCTTCTTAGCCTAGTTTTTTTTTTTTTCATTCAAAATTCATTCAATCAATATTTACTGAGCACCTAGTATGTTCCGGGCACTGATAGCTAACCACTTATTTAATCTTTAAACCAGTGGTCCTCAATCTTCCAAATGCCGCGACCCTTTAATACAGTTCCTCATATTGTGGTGACCCCCCAACCATAAGATTATTTCCGTTGTTACTTCACAACTGTAATTTTGCTACTGTTATGAATCACCATCGGAAACATGTGTTTTCCGATGGTCTTAGGCGACCCCTGTGAAAGGGTCGTTCGACGCCCAAAGGGGTTGCGACCCACAGGTTGAGAACCGCTGCTTTAAACATTATCCCAGGCTCAGGCCTCTGACTTCTCCCTCTGGCTGCACTCACTCCCTTGGTGACCTCATCTAGTCTTCCTGGCTTTAGAAAACTCCTGTACATTGACAGCTCTCAAATTCACTATCTCTAGCCTGGATTAACTCCAGAACCATTAATTAAGCTACCTAATTCAACATTTCCACATAGACTTATATAACACTCTGAATCTAACATGTCATATCTGTCACCTTCCCCACTCCAACCTTTGTTTATACTCTTCCCTACCTTTAAGTATTCAGGTCAAATACCTTAGAGTCTGGTCTGTGATAAAATATCACCTGCCAGGCAATTCCTTTCCTCGACCATGCTGTTGCCATTGTAAGGAGTTGAGTTTTTACTACAAATGAGTTAGAAAGTCACGGGATGGCTTAAAACAGAAGACTATGAGCTCTCATTTTAAAAGGACCACAGTGCTGCTGTGTTCAGAAAACACCTGGGGGTAGGGCTGGAGAGTGGTGAGTGTGCAAGAACAAGACCAGCTGGGGGCCCTGCATCACTCCACACTGGAGAGGGCAGCAGAGGTGGCGGGAAACCGGATACAGTGTAAAAGTTGAACCTACAGCCCTGGTCAGTTTGGCTCAGAAGTTAGAGCGTTGGCCTGCGGTCTAGAGAGACCCGGGTTCGGTTCCCGCTAAGGGCACGTACCTTGGTTGCAGTTTGTCCCCGGCCCTGGTTGGTTGTGTGGGTGGGTAGCCACTCGATGTGTCCCTTTCACATTGATATTCTCTCTCTCTCTCTCTCCTTCCCACTCTATCTGAACAAAAAATGGAAAAATGTCCTCGGGTGAGGACAAAAAAATTATAAAATAAAATAAAATTGATTTGAGAGAAAGAGATTTGTTGTTCCACTTATTTATGCATTCACTGGTTGCTTCTTGTATGTGCCCTAACCAGGGATCAAACCTGCAACCTTGGCCTACTGGGATGATGCTCTAACCAAATGAGCTACCCAGCCAGGGCTATATTCAGTATTTACTGTTTATATTCTCTCACCCTCCACCTTTCTAATTCACCCCTCCAAATGTACACACTATACAGAAGAGAGTTAACATGGCAGGTTTATAACTGCTATCCTCAGATAGGCCCACTTGCAAGGTTGGCCCTAGGCTGGCCCTTGGAAACTGGACTCAGGGAATCTTCTATCACTGTGCCTAGACTGGGTGTATATATAATGTGGTTTATGTGGACACCTGTTTCCCCTCTGGAAGTCTGAATTTTGGTATGTGCTAGGCAGAGGTTAATATGACCAGCCCCTGGTAAAAACCTTGAGCACAGAGTCTCTAATGGGCTTCCCTGGGCAGAAACATTGCAGATGTTACTACAGTGTTGTTCCTAGAGGAAAGGATGTGCTCTGTGTGGCCCCTCATGGCAGGGACAGAGCATAAGGAAGCCATGCACCTGGGGTTACTTCAATCCCTTTTCCCCTTATGATCTGTGTACCTTTACTACGCTTATCACGAGTACAACTGTTTGCTGAGTCCCATGAGTTCTTCCAGTGAGTCTCTGGATATGAAGGTGGTCATGGAACCCCTGACACATACACCTAAAATGTAAACTTTGTAGGGTCAAAGGCTCAGTGCACTGCTCCATCTCTAATGCTTAGAACTGTATCTGGAAACAGCTGATTCCTGTAAATATCTATTGAAAATACATGTATTTTGTTTCATTCTCCTTCTTCCATTATTCCAACATCTGACAGAGAAGAGTATCAGTGGAAAGAGGGATTTTAGAATCTTTACACAACATAGTTTGCTATAAAACACATAATCTGTATGTATATATTCCCAACTCATTACTGTATAGTACCTTCTTTTAACTTTGAAGTTGGCCTGCGGCTGGGATGGGCCAGTGAGATTAAGGAGAGGGTTTCCACTCAGAATGTTTTCCATACGAATCCTTTCTTCTTCAGCTTTTTGCTCTTGTTCCTGTCAATGATAGGGGAAGATTCATATTTACTTACATTAACTCCAGGGTCAATCTGTTATACAACTCCTGTTTTAAAGGACTGTTAAAAACGAATATTAAGGTAGTGTTGTTTTGTTTGTTTTCAAGACATACCAGAAAAGTCTTGCTTTTTAAAATAATTTGACATTTTTATTATAACTATTTCATGCATGAGTTTTTTTGTTTGTTTGTTTGTTTTTTATCCTCACCTGAGGACATTTTTCCATTTTTTATTCAGATAGAGCAGGAGGGAGAGAGAGGAAGAGAGAGAGAAAGAAACATCGTTGTGAAGGGACACATCAAGTGGCTGCCACCCGCACAACCAACCAGGGCCGGGGACAAACTGCAACCGAGGTACATGCCCTTAGCGGGAACCGAATCCGGGTCTCTCTGTACCGCAGGCCGACACTCTAACCGCTGAGCCAAACCAGCCAGGGCATGCATGAGTCTTTTTTGAATCTAAAATTCTTCAGATGCATACTTGAATCTATTTTTTTTTTTTTTTAAATCCTCACCCAAGGACATTTTTCCATTTTTTTTCAGATAGAGTGGGAGGGAGGGGGGGAGAGAGAGAGAGAGAAACATTGATGTGAAAGGGACACATTGAGTGGCTGCCACACGCATGACCCAACCAGGGCTGGGGACAAACTGCAACCGAGGCACGTGCCCTTAGCGGGAACCGAACCCGGGTCTCTCTGGACTGCAGGCCAACGCTCTAACTGCTGAGCCAAACCGGCCAGGGCTCTATTTTCTTTTTTTTTTTTATCCTCACCTGAGGATATTTTTCCATTTTTTGTACAGATAGAGTGGGAGGGAGAGAGAGGAAGGGAGAGAGAGAGAAAAACATTGACGTGAAGGGACACATCGAGTGGCTGCCACCCGCACGACCAACCAGGGCCGGGGACAAACTGCAACCGAAGTACGTGCCCTTAGTGGGAACCGAACCCGGGTCTCTCCGGACCGCAGGCCGACGCTCTAACCACTGAGCCAAACTGGCCAGGGCTATTTTCTTGAAGTAAACACTAAATTGCTTATTTTAAGAAAGTCTACCAATAAACATTCTAATAATTTAAGAATGTATTAAACACCAGAGACATTTAGCAAGGCTATTACCATGATTTTTAAAGACGGGCTATACATAACTGATTATAAATACTTTTTTATTTTGATTTACCAACAATGTAAACTTGCATCTCTAAAATTGAGAGGTTTTATTAACCAAGAAGTATCTCCTAAAATAAGACAAACTATCAAAATTTTATTAACATGCACTTCTACCAATTTACCTTATGTTTATCCACTGTTCTTATGATTTTACTTTCTATTTTTATACCTCTCATACCTTATCAGTTACAAGCTTGTCTTTCTTCACTTTTTATTTTATTTTTCTTTATTTTTAGAGAGAGAGGAATGGAGAGGGAGAGAGAGAAACTTCAATGAGAACATCGATTGGCCGCCTCCTGCACCACACCCCCTACTTGGGATCAGGCCCACAACCTGGACACGTGCCCTGACTGGGAATCAAACTGGTGACCCCTTGGTACATGGGTCGACCCTCAAACTGAGCCACACCGGCCGGGCTCTTCACTTTTATTTTAGCATTAATGTCTTTAAATTCAAATCCACACCCTCCCCATTTCATTGTTAGAAACATGAATATAAAATGTCTAAAATCCTTAACCATAACTTCTAAGTCTACCTGATTCCATGCTATCTTAACCCAAGATAAATCCCACTTTGTTGTGTCTTAGGGATGACAGACATTGATGACTTACTAAATCAAAGAAAAAGAGACTTTCGGGAAGTCCACTTAAAATAAACCTATGTTAAAAGACTTGGAAAAATAACCTAATTTTCAACACAGGTTAATGATACTGTTTTAAAAATTGAATTTATTGGGGTGACACTGGCTAACAAAATTATATAGGTCTCAGGTGCACAGTTCCACAGCACATCATCTGTATAATGTACTCTGTTCACCACCCCAAGTCCAGTCTCCGCCCATCACCATTTATCTCCCCTATGCTCTTCCTCCACCTCCCCCCAAACCCGTCCCCTGCAATCGCCGTACTATTGTCCATGTCCATACGTTTTTTCTTTTTTCTTTCTTTTTTGCTCAATCCCTCCAATAACCCAGTGCTCCCGACATCCAAATGTGAACATTGAATTTCATCTTTGTATGAGGCCAAATAACTAGAAGGTGAGAAAATGCAATTTTCCAGGGGGAGGGTGTTTAGGCCACTGCTGAGACTTTTAACAAAGTCAGGAATATCCACTATAGATTAAGAACAGATAACTTTAGCCCTGGCCTGTGTGGCTCAGTTGGTTGAGCGTCGTCCAGAGCACTGAAAAGTTGCTGGTTTGATTCCCAGTCAAGGCACATGCCCAGGTTGCACACATGATTTCTGGTCAGGATGTGTTCGAGAGGCAATTGATTGATGTTTCTCTCTCTGTCACTCCCTCTCCCTTCCCCTTTCTCGAAAAAGTAAAAATCAGTGAAATCTTTCTCTAAAAAGTAAATCAGTGAAAAACATTAAAAATAAAAGAACAGATAGCTTTCTATAAACTATATATTTATTTATATTATTATTTTTTAATCCTCACCCAAGGATATTTTTTTCCATTGTTTTTCAGAGAGTAGAATGGAGGGAGGGGGTAGAGGAAGAAAGGGAGGGAGGGAAGGAGGGAGGGAGAGAGAGAGGGAGAGAGAAACATCAATGTGAGAGACATACATCGATTGCCTTCCTCCCACACGCGCTCCAACTGGGGCCAGGGATCAAACCCATGACCACTAACCACAACGGCCAGGGCTATATATTTATTTTTAACAAATTACATTTTTGCTGAAATTTAAAACATTTCTCTGAGATGCTAGAAAAATAGGAGCTCAAGTATATAAAGTATCCAAATTTATAACAACATGTGTGATGTAATAAGATCCTGGCCATTCTGTGTTCAGAATATACAGCCGTCCTTCGTTTATCGCAGTTAATCTGTTCCAGACTCTAGTGGTTGCACCTGGCGTTGAAGGATTCCAGAGGTGCTCAAATACATAGGCCTACAGTCCATACATACAGTAATTTTAATTGTAATACAGGGGTGTATAATTGACTCGGACAACCGAGCGTGTGCTGTATCATTTTCACTGTCTCAAATAAACTTTTTTTTTTTTTATCCTCACCCGAGGACATTTTTCGATATTTTGTTCAGATAGAGTGAGAGGGAGAGAGACAGAGAGAAACATCGACGTGAAAGCGACACATCGAGTGGTTGCCACCCACACGACCCAACCAGGGCTGGGGACAAACTGCAACCAAGGTACGTGCCCTTAGCGGAAACCGAACCCGGGTCTCTCCAGACCGCAGGCCGACGCTCTAACCGCTGAGCCAAACCGGCCAGGGCTCAAATAAACTTTTTAATGAATATATTTTTAAAAATCGTGATAGAGTGAAGCCGCGAAAGTCGAAGCGCGAAGTGGCAAGGGACGACTGTATTTCCTTTAGGAGTTACTGGCTGGTTGCCACACACAGCCCTGGAGAAAAAAAAAGGTGCCAACCCTTTCCATATTCAAGTACCAAGTGCATTATGCTTTATGAATGCAGGCTAAAGCTATACAGCTTGTGGGTCAAATTCAAACCACCCTGTTTTGTAAGTAACATTTTATTGGAACACAGTCACATTCATTCATTTATGTACTGTCTATGGCTTCTTGTGCTACAAGCAGGCCTGAATAGTTGTGACAGTGGCCCACAAGCCTAATATATTCACTCTCTGGCCCTTACAGAAAGTTTGCCAGCCCCTGAAATAGGCAGACTGGTTTGAAATGTTATTTTGGGACACTCAAAAAGTAACCACTGGAAAGCCAGGGAGACAGGGACAGAAGAATTAACTGTCATTCAACCCCAACAAACACCAACAAATTTGTTTACAGAGATTAGATGAATCTCAAAAATGTTTAAATGTCTAAAATGCCTATCCTCCCTAAAGGTTAACCAATGCATTTAAATTGCTCATCTCTTTACGTATTCAGAGCTGTTAGATAAATCAAAGGTATTTTGGAATGGAACAACTGCCCTCTAGTGGTGTACAACTGATATTAGGAAGATTCTTAAATCCTTTGATTTCTACAATTAGATATAAAAATTGTGAACTATTATAGAAGTTATGCTATCCTATGCCAAACTCTGATAAATGTCTAGTAAAATACTTTTCTTCTTCCAATTTGAATTCTAGCAGCATGCAAAGCCTATTTCAAATTGGACCTCTTTTCTGAATTCTGACCCTTCTGACCCACATGAATTCTACCTCCCTAGATTCCAAGCATTAACCTACGTCAATCTTTCCTCTGAGTCTTCTTCCTCTCTATTTTAAACAGAAAACAATTCTTCGCTTAAATAAAATCTTACACAGACACCATAAAACAAGCTGCTCTGTTCTGGTTGAAAGTGGAGACAGATATCTCTACTTGGACATCTCACAATGTAGCAAATTCAACATGTTCCAAACAGAACGAATCATCTTTTCTCTCCACCTAAATATGCCCATCCTTCTGTATTGTGTGTTAAGTGGATGGCACCAACATCTACCCAGAAAATGGGGGTCATCTTTACTGCCACATTTGATCAGTCACTTTATCTGGTCAATTCTACCTCCTTGATAGCTCTATCAACATCTGTTTACTTCTTTCAATTCCAACTCCTATTATACACAATTCTTCTAACTATATGTGAGGATTACTGGAACAGCCTCCTACATCAATTCTTTCCAACGTACTCGCCATACTTCTACCAGAATAATCTTTCTAAAATGCATACCCAGCCTCACCAATCTCCTGCTGAAATTGACTAGCTTCTCATATCCTTCAGAACAGAGTCCAAACTCCTTTAACATTGGTTTACAAATCTCTGAACCTCCTCTTGCCTCCCGTTTCATCTCTTTTTTTTATTACTATGGATCCTATTTAATCCTTATAACTATCTTTGAGTTAAATATCCTTTTCTTCCATTGTGTAAATTGAGAGATGGGGGGCAGGGGGCTCGAAGAAGTTACGTAAATTGTCCTAGGTTACATAAATTCTATTGACAGACTGCTTCAACAAGTGCCTGGAAAGAAGGCTGAGGCAGGAGACAAGGAAAGAAATGACAATGGCCTCACTGTATCTGTGAGTACTTAGTAGGCCAGGACTACATCCTAGTCATCTTTTATTCTTCTGACACTTAATAGACATTAACTAAATGTGTGTTAAGCAAACAAACAAGGGATTAAAGAGCAGTGTGATGAGTATATTATTAACCATGTCTGAATTATTTGGAAAGAATTTCTAACATAACCAAGAGACTTAAAATGCCACAAAAAATTATCAGTTTTACAGACCTATGGGTGCTATAATATCTAGACATGGCAAGGACAATTTGTAATATAAAATATTACTTGAATTAAAAATATTTCTACTTTAGCCCTGGCCGGTTTGGCTCAGCAGTTAGAGTGTCAGCCCGTAGACCAAAGGATCATGGGTTCCTTTCAGTCAAGGGCATGTACCTGGCTTTCAGGTTCAATCCCTGGCCCTAGTCGGGTTCATGTGGAATCAATCAATGTCTCTCTCTCTCACATCAACGTTTTTTCTTTCTCTCCTTCCCTCCCTTCCATTCTCTCTAAAAACCAATGGAAAGATACTGTCAGGTGAGAATTAACAAAAAATAAATAAATAAGTAAATAAAAGTGCTTACCATGTTAAAAAAAATTTATATTTGAGTTTATATAAGAAGATGTAAATATTTAACACTTTGATTTTACCTTTCTGGCTTGCTCTTCAGCTCTTTCCTTTTTAATTTTTTCTAGTTCTGCAAGAAGAGCTGCAGTATCATCATCATCACTCTCCTCTTCAAAATCTTCATCTTCATCTTCCTCCTAAAAAACAATGTGATGACCCATTGGAGAGAATATTCACATTAATTTTTTTCCATAAAAATTGCACTTATCAAATCTTTGGAGCATGATTAGTGGGAAAGATAAATGCATCTAAATATGATTAAAATTAACAACTAACCAAAAAATAAATCCCACTTAAGAATATTCACTAAGATGTCAACCCCTGAAGTGTTTTAGAGATTATAACAACAAATAGTATAACAAAGTACCCTTGAAATTTACAGGCAAAAGGGAATTTAGATATAAAAATATTTCTAAAACAAGAAAAGGAACACTTTACACTGATATACACTCCAAATGCACACAGTATATCACCCTAAAAATCAAAATTGTTTTATACAGCTCAAAACAACTTCGAGCTAGGCAGAATAATCAAAAGTACAAAAAGGGTGCTAAACTCTCAGAAGAAACCAATTTCAAATGAATAAACATAAGTCTCACTGAGTTACCTATATTTAATTACTAAATTATATTTAATTCAATCCAGAATTAATTGCTGACATATGCACTTAATTAAATGCTGCTACTCATAAAAAGTCACTCAAATTTCACTGTATGTAGAAAACTGCAAATTAATTATAGACTATGGGTGCCATTAAATTTTAATGTTAACTAAAGCACTAATCCTTAAAAACCTTCCACTTAGATCACTTCCCTCCCTAAGCACAGAGGGAGCCATTAAGTGCATCACACATTAGAGGGGCATCAGTGGTATCTAATGTAAAAAGGTCCCTGGGTTCAACTCTAGGTGCTGCTATTGATAAGAGTGCCCAGTCTGAAGAGTGCCCTCTGGAGAGCTATAACATGGTAGCCCAATCTCTATGGTTTAATATAGGGAGTTATTTTTTAGGAAGGCATAGTCTTTAATAGATCACTTCCTTATTTGGTTTTCCAGAGATCAAACTCGTCCTTGAAGTTTGATTAACCAAAGAGCAAAAATTTTTGTTTTAAAATCAACTATAAACTTTAGCATTTGAATAACAGTGAAGTAAAAAGAAATACAGGGCTCTTCTTAAAGCCACAAGAATAAAAAAGTCTTTCAGAAAACATGATATAATTACTATGGAGATGAAAGGAAGAAACAAAACATACGTCTGTTAGAGGATCATCTGCATCAAGGTTGGCAGCAGGAATCTGGTCTAACCGAGGCTTCTTTGACACTGAAGAGGAGGTTGTGTGTTCTGAGGAAAGACAAACATCACTTAGGTTACTGAAACAAATACTGCATTTCTCATAACATTTTAGGAACCTGTGGGTACAAAGAATGTAGATTATAACTATCATGACAGCTGGGATAAAAACCACAGTGCCCGGCAAATAAGCCCTTAGTAATATATATTTGCTGAGTAAATTAATGAAAGTATTGATTTTAATATGGAAACTGTAGACTCTCTCAGGAAATTTAGAGAACAGTTTACATAAGCTAGAATTATATGCCCCTTGGTGCCTTCTAATAGCCAGTAACAAAAATGGGAGAACTTCATAGACAGAGACCAGGAAGTCTCAAAAAATATGGCTCTTGTAAACAGTCAAAACTCCTTGATCTAAACTGGAACAATGGCTGCTAAATATCCCAGGTCATCTTGTCCCTTCTAATATAGAACCATAAAAAGATGAAACTGGAATCAACTTTATTATCATACCTAATTTAATCTAAACATATACCATTTAGCAAAGTGTTACAGTTCATACCACCAATATTTAAAAGCAAACAAAAATAGTAATCTGTTTCAATTACCAAGTGAAAGAAAAACGATTTTCAACAATTTTATAAGACAAATATCTGAGGTAGTGTGGGTACCTCGAGTTGGACGATCTCTATTTTTTTCTCTTGCAGCAACTCTCTCTCTCTCCTCTAACTCTCTTCTGAAGTCACGGTTCCGAACCTCTTCAGGGGCATCCTGAGTGGTCTGTCTAAAGCAGAAACAAACCAGGGCAAAAATGTTTCTTAAAAAACACATGGCTGTAGCAATGGAAGATAATTCACAAAAAGCAACTTCGTCCTTGAGTCCCTCAAACACAAAAGAAGGAACTGGACAAGAATATTACCCTAATCTCAGGGTTACTGACAGACATCCTTGTGATATTTCCAATATTTCAAGAATCCCAAAATGAATCACATATATTCCCATAATAAGCCTGGAGATCGATTAAAATGTCTTTACTGCCCAGCCAGTGCGGCTCAGTGGATTGAGCATCATCCCATGGACTAAGAGGTCCTGGTTCAATTCCCAGTGAGGGCACATGCCTGGGTTGCTGGCTCCATCCCCAGCAGGGGGTGTGCAGGAGGCAGCCAATTGAAATTTCTCACATCGATGCTTCTCTCTCTTTCTTCCTCTTTCTAAAAAATCAATTAAAACACATTAAAAAAATTTTCTTATACGCCTTTACTTTTTGTTAGTAGGTCAACTCAGGGCACATTATGGTAACACTTTTATTCTCATATTGATTAATACTGACAGTGCACTGTCTCTCTGAAGTTATGTATTATTTTTCCATCTACATGTGGATATTCTTGGTTAACAGGAATTTCTACTTAATAAATACCTGATAGTTATTTATAGCTACATAATTTTAGTATTATTCTACTGCATTCTACTCACATAAAAATAAATAACTTAAGTGATATAACCCAAACGTGCTACTATCTCATGACCATGCCCTTTATCAGATTTGGTCTTGCTTTGTAAACAACAAAAAAAAGAAAATCTTCATTACCTATATTTTATCTTTGTATGAGAAGGTAGGTCTCTACTTGAATATTGCTTTGAGAGTTGGCTCAAATCACCTTCTCCTTTTCCTCTCCCACCTCTAGCAGGTTCAAAAGTTGGTCGAGCTGCTGTTGTCATCTTTTATGCTTTGAAGAAAAATAATATCAAGTTATTCCCCATAAGACAAATTCTCATTTCTTAAAGTATTAAGAAATCCTCGTGAAGTAATTTCCATAATGTATTCCTTAAAATTTACTTAAATAACCTCAAATCAAAAGTTCTCAAGAAACAAACAATGAGCCCTGGCCAGTCTAGCTCAGCGGTTAGAGCGTCGGCCCATGGACCAGAGAGTCCTGGGTTCAGTTCCTGCTAAGGGCATGTACCTCTATTGCAGTTTGTCCCTGGCCCCGGTTGGGGTCGTGTGGGTGGCAACCACTCAACCTGTCTCTCTCACATTAATGTTTCTCTCTCTCCCTCCCGCTCTATCTGAAGATGAATACAAACATGTCCTCAGGTGAGGATAAAAAACAAAAGAAACAAACAAACAATGAGGCTCAGGGTGCACAAAGAATAAGTCTTCTTAGGTTACTCCCATTTTGTACAAAAAATTCTGTCACGAAGATCTGAGTTTGTGTTCCTCTTCTTCTAGCTCTGTGGCCTTGGACAAGTCACCTAGCTTACGTTTTTGTCATCTGTGAAACAAGGATATTCCTCATAGAATTATTATGTGATTTGACACGGCAAAACCCTTACAAAATACAAGTACTGCCATGACAGAGTTTAAAAAATTCTCAACCCCACCATACTCCACCAGGCTCCCTAAGGCTTGCACTTTAAACCTCACACAACAGAAAATAGGTTAGTAACTACAAAAAGAATATTGAAAAATCACAAAGAAATATATTTTAATCACAATTACTAAGTATCCTGGATAAAACTATGTTAAACTTTAATAACAGTGACCTGGCCAAAATTCTCCAACCTTTTGTTGATCCATTACAGGAGTCAACGTAATACAAATTCAGATCTTTTGTAGGTTATAGTTTAAGGAATACTCAAAAGACGGGAACCTCATCCCAAAGGATGCTGATAAAATCAGGGCTCCTTCCTTATGTTACTTTTGGTTACAGGCAGCCAAAATAATATCTCAGCAGAAGGGGCTTCTAAAACCCCGTTAAGCGTAAGAAAAGCAAGTATGTGCGGGATGTTGTGGGAACCACTATATGTCTCTAGAGATTTTCAAAACAGGGAAAGGGATGTATCCAGAGGGGGCAGGAAAAGTGTTTCCTGCCGCTGGGGGCGCCGCCGTCTCCCACACAGCCCGGATTATGATCATTCTTGTCTCCCCGGAGTTCACCTTCGGGATGTCACCAGGAACTTGCTGACTCCTCGACCTGCCGACTCCGCGAGGGGCGTGGAGGCCCGGACCCTGCTGAACGCCGTCTGCAACGCTGCCTTCGCGCTGCGCTCTCCGCGGCGCCGGGACACGAGACGCGCCCGCAGGAGCTGGGCTCCGCCACCCGCCCGCCGCCCTGGGGCCTCCACCACCGCACTCGGTTGTCCGCCGGCGACTCCGATCCCAACCGCCCTTTCCCGCCCCACTCGGATAAGAAAGACAAACTGCTACCGCTCACGTTGGCCGAGGTCCGATTCAGCAGCCCCCGGAGATCACACAGACACCATAAGGACTGTGGGCTCCCAGAATCCTCAGCACCCGGTGCTTAAGCCCAAGACCCGGAAGCAAACCCCAAGCACTTTCGCCGCACTTCAGAGGCGGAGGCAGCGGCCAATCCGCAGAGGCCAGGGGGGAAGTCAGCGTGACGACAGTGAGGGGCGGGGCCGAAGCGGCCGAGGGGGCGGGCGTTTAAATTCGGTGCCTTAGAGCTGATCCTAAACATCATTTTATACCTTCGAGAACCAATTACTTAATGTCTCTTCCGTCTTTTCCTTCCCCGACCCCCTCCCAGACTCCTTCATTCCGGTACTGCGTGGACGGAAAGCCCCGTGTAGCCGACACCACGTCCCCGGCTAGCGAGAGAGAGCGTAGAAAAGGATTACACCAAACTGTTTAAATCCAACGGCTCCTGCTTCCTTTCTCCTGAGCTAGACCCAACATGCCTAGAGAGTTGGGCTACGGAAAAACTAGTATTTTCATTTAATTGGATATGAAGAAAGAACAAATAAGTACGGGGGCAACCACGATCTTTATAAAGGTACCATTCCTGCAAAAAAAAATGTTAGTCTTCAAAGCAAAGGTTGTATTCGTATTGTTTGTTAAAATTTTTATTAAAAAACTAAGTTCTAGCGGGAGGGGAGGTGCCACAATTAGAGATTCATTCATTTATTAATCGACAATTGAGCGTTTGGAACGGTGGGCCCAACTGCCAGGAGCACGAGGTGCAGTTGTAAGATGGCTCCTCTGTGCACTAGGTGAAGTTTTAATAAGGCCACGAACGGGAAAATTAATGACCCATCCCTCACCTCCCCCCAAAACACTCTGGCAGCAGGGATCTTGCTTGCTTAGTTTATCTTGCTATCCCATCACATAGCACTTCGCCAGAGTAGATGCTCAATAATTTGTTAAGCAAATGAAAATTCAACTCCCTCAAGTTTCCAATGTAAAGAGCCCATGAAATTGAACATTAAAATGCCTTTTCCCCCCAGAACTCTCTTTTGAAACTTTTAAAAGGAAAAAAAAAAAAAAGAAAAACTCTTTTCCTCCATAAAGTTCAAGATGTAAATATTGATATTTTTTACCGAAGGTGTTTGTTCCCTCCTCTTAGACATCTCAGTAAAGGACACTACCATTAGGCTAGTTACTCAAACCAAAATCTCAAGGCTCTTACTTAAATTCCTTTTCATTCACTCTTTACATTCAGTTCCTTTGCAAGTCTTGCCAATTCAACTTTCCAAATAGCCCTAAATTTTATTCCACTGTCACTACCTTAGTCCAGCCACTATCATTTTCCACCTGGATCGTAACAGCTTCCTAATAGATCTTCCTGCTTCCACTTTTGTCCTACATTCAATTTTGCAGATAACAGTGAGTGATCTTTTGAAATTATGAATCAGGTAGTGTTATCTCCTGCATAAAAATCCAATGCAGTTAGAATAAAAATTAAATTTCTTTAGGACCCATCAGGCATGGCCTGGCCTGCCTTTCTCCTTGACTTCTAATCTGTCACTCTCATACGCACTTAAGTTCCAGCCACAGCCAACTAGGCACTTCTGTTTCACAAACAAGGAAAGATTCCTTTGCACTAGCTTTTCTCTGCTGTCTGTGCCCCAAAATAACTGTAAGCGTCCTTCAGGTCTCAGTCCAAATGTCACTTTCTCAGTGAGGTTTTACCTGGCATCTCAATTTGCATCCTAAATCCTCCAACACACATACACCATCACATCACCCTGTTTTATTTTTTTCATAAACCTACCAGTATTTATTCCATTCATTATTTTTCACCTTGTTTCTTGTCTGAGAGGCAGCATAGCAAAAGTCATTAAGAGAAAGAGAGCTATAGCCTGACTGGTTTGGTTCTAAATTCCAGTTCTGCCCTTTCCTTGTTGTGTAATCTTAGGCGAGCTATTTTTTCCTTTCTGTGCTCTCAGTTTCTTCATGTATAAAATGGGAATAATTCTAGTCTGTAGTAAATAATGTTATTAGAATTAGCGAATTAATACTTGTAAAGTGCTTAAAACTGTCTCAGAAAACAGTACTTGTTAAATACATGTTAGCTATTATTATAATTAATATTATTTTTATTATTATTGTCTATCTTCCTGTATTAGAACATAAGTTCCAGGAAAGCAGGAACCTTGTCTCTCTTGTTCACTGGTGTATCCTCTGCATATAGAACAGTGCCTGGCACATAATAGGTACTGAGTAAGTATTTGTTGAATGAATGAATGATTGATGCACTATGAAGTGGAAGAATGAAACAAAGTGGTAACACAATTATAGAAAAGACCCCTCATTGTTATGTTCCAACTGCCCTTATCACCCTGAGCCAACCACCCTGATTCATTTAACTACTAGCTCACCACCTAATCTTTTCATCAGCAACAGTAGTTAAATAACCACCCCTGTAATTTCATTAACATCAACATACAATGTAATCAGTCCACAAAATTAAAAGCTTTGACTTAAATGGTCTGAAAGTATTAATAATAAGAAGAAACTAAACATTTTTTTACTTAAATTATTTTAAAGTACTAATAAGAAAATGAAACTATAAAGTTTTGACTTATATGGTTTGAAAGTATTAGAAAAAGAAATGAAAAGTAAATTTACTAGAAGTTTAAAATCTATTCTATCAACTACCTTTGCTGGCAAAAAGCCATATAACCTCTGAAGAATTCTCATTTGAAGCCAATTACCACAAAAATCTCATTGGGCCCTTAATTCTGCCTACCAATCCTCTTATACTCTCCTAATTGTTTACTTTCCCACTCTGCATTAATATATGATTTCCCACATTCCTCTCTTTCCTTAAATGTACATGCTTCTCCCCCCCCCCCCTTTTCCTTCCTCATCTTCTTTCCCAGGAATAGATGATATTCTGATTTCTCTGGAAAGATAAAAGCTCTTAAACAAGAACTTCTCGTCTGCTGTCCAGCAGATCTACCAAACTGCCTTTGACTATACCCATACCCTCAGCTTTCCACGTGTCAGCAGAGATGAGGTGACCCAGACCCTTTCCCTTCTTCTCTGGATCCCAAACCCTCTGGGTCCCACTGGTACCCTGCTAAATTTTCTCTCTCATAATCTATTAATCTATTCCTTTCAGATCATTCTTACCAGCTTTTGGGTATGGTATAGTATATCTTAACCTTAAAAATTGCTCCTTCATCTCCCCACCTTCCCCCACCTTCAGAGGGGCATCTTTCCTCAAAAAATTGCTCCTTCAGCCCCAACTAGTTTGGCTGAGTGGTTAGAGCAGTGGTTCTCAACCTTCCTAATGCCGCTACCCTTTAATACAGTTCCTCATGTTGTGGTGACCCCCAACCGTAAAATTATTTTTGTTGCTACTTCATAACTGTAATTGTGCTATTATATCTTAGGTGACCCCTGTGAAAGGGTCATTTCACCCCCTAAGGGGTCGCGACCCATAGGTTGAGAACCGCTGGGTTAAAGCGTTGGCCAGCAGACCAGAGGGTCTCAGGTTCGATTCCTGGTCAAGGGCACATGCCTGGGTTGCAGGTTTGATCCCTGGCCCTGGTGGGAAGCAACCAATCTATGTGTCTCTCTCACATTGATGTTTCTCTCTCTATCCCTCCCTCCCACACTATCTAAAAAATCAATGGAAAAATATCCTCAGGTGAGGATTAACAAAAAAAATAAGAGAGAAAATTGCACCTTCATTTTAATATGACATGGTAATATTTTGATTCGATGTGTAGAGGATGTTTTATTTAATAACTGATAGATGCCCTGACCAGTTTGGCTTAGTGGTTAGAGAATCAGCCCTCAGACCGGGGGATCTCAGGTTCAATTCCTAGTCAAGGGCATGTACCTGGGTTGCAGGTTTGATCCCCGGCCCAGTCAGGGTTGTGTGGGAGGCAACTGATCGATCGATCTCTCTCTCTCTCCCCCTCTCTCTGTAAAAATCAATAAAACATATCTTCAGGTGAATATTAAAAAAATAATAATAAAGTTGCAATCTTTCTCCCACTTTGTCCTATAGTGTACTACACTCCTTAGCCCCCTTATCCTGTTCTACTTTTCTTTTTTTATATAGCACAGATAATTTTCCATGATCCTATAAATTTAGTTATGTTTATTATTTCTTCTCTATCTAGCCTATTCAGAATATAAACTCTGTAAGTGCAGGGATCTTTGTTTTGCCCAGTGATGTAGGCCATGCATTTAAACAATGCCTGGCATTCAGAGTAAATAATTGAATGAATGAATGGGTGAATGAATTTTAACAGGAAAGAAGATAACATTTTGATCTAAAAATATTCTTAATCTTTTTATATTTTAAAAGAGAAAAAAGTAATTTACATTCTGCTAGTCTGAAATTTAGATTTGAAATAAAGATATACCAAGACCCAGAACGATGATTTCTTTTTAGAAAAGAATATGGAAAAACATGTGATTATCAGACTGTTATGTCCCTCAGGATTCTGATTCGATTAGCCCTACCCCCAATCCAGTTACAACTCCAGTTTAGTCCATCCTCCCTCCTCTTTTAGTTGAATCACTTTTCTCAATTCTAGTAAATTCCCTCATTTACAACGTTATGTGAAAATTTTGCTTGCATGTTTTTTTTTTTTTGTACGTGCCCCTAGCAGGAACTGAACCCGGGACTCTCTGGTCCATAGGCCGACACTCCAACTGCTGAGCCAAACCGGCCAGGGCTGAAAATGTTTTTTTGAGGCTTTTACTAAGAAAATGGAGAGGGAAAACCCAGTCACAAGTCACAGATCACATTTAAAAATAAGGAAATATAAATAATGGCATCAGTTTAAAATTTTTAACCTGAAAATGACCAATTTTCTAATATAAAAGGCGCTTTAATCTGTTTTGACAAGCGAAAAGAATAGAAAAATAATTAGCTTGCTTTCTACCAACAAAATTCCGATTTTAAATGAAGACATTCTGGGGCTCAGAAAGATGATTTCCTGGAGAGAGCCTCAAAATGAAAGTTGCTGGTGGTCTAGGCTAAATTACTGGCTAATATTAAATTACTGGTTAATTCAGCCACTTCTTACCTAACCTGAGCACGTGGCT